TCGTGCGGTAGAGAAGCGGCCATTTGCCGGCAAAGATTAACCCGAATAAATTACGGGCCCTCCTTCTAGCGCCAAACTGTTGTTAAATGATTTTGTAACAACAAAAATGTACACCCCTATTTCGTGAATAACCGGTGTAGAACTCATATGGATTTGTATTGATTTTGTTGTGGGGTTTTGGGTATATTTTATAAATTGAATATGAAGACTACTGAAAATTCAAAGAACACACAAGCTGTATATTATCTGTTTTTGTCATTGAAGGAAAAATAGGATTAGGATGAAGGAGCAGGGCGGTGCCCTCTGTTTTGTAGATAAAGAAAGAAAAAACTAAAGTCCCCCTCTTCTTATCCTTTAACCCATATTTATATATATCTATTTGGGCTAACCCGGGCCCGTATATCTAATGGCTTTTATAATAAAACATGACCGTACATGGCCCAATAATAAATATGACCGCGCAGGGCTCAATAATAAATAATAGCCCCGACTGATATTTGTCTTGTCAGCAATTGACGTGTCTGTATAAAGGGCTTCTTTGTGATATGTGAGTCGATCTGACGGCATTGAATTCTGAGTAGTGTTGGACGTGGAGCGTCTTGTCTTCAGAGTACTCGGTCAATATAAATAAGACAAAGAAACTTGCTATTTTATATTTATCTAATATATATATCCACGTGCAATATTTTAATAGGCGAGGCCAAAATTAGGTAACAACAGTTTCCTTCAATTAACTATTGAATTATAAATGTATGTAAAAAGTTGATAACTTTTGTATTTCTTATCAGTTTTTCATTTATAATATATCAAATGAATAATCTTTTCATGATTTTTGATTTGACATCCATATTGTATATATAAAATAAATAAATTATACTCCCTCCTATTCAAAATAAATGTCGTTTTGAGAAGTTGCACAATAATTAAAAATATTTTTATTGTCAATAATAACCCTATTTAATGAAGATAGAGATGAATGTTTTGAGAAAAAATGAAGAAGAAATATGGAATGACGTAGTGTATTTATTGACTAAATGAGGGTAATAATGGAAAAAACATGTACAAAAGATCTAAAACGACATTTATTTGGTTAATAGTTGATAAAGCTAAAATGACATTTAAAAAGAATAGGAGGTAGTATTTATCTTTATAATAATAAAAAATAATATTTATTAAAAAATAAAATTATTTCTCAGTTGATATATTTATGTTTAATGTAGTTATATGTTGTAAGTTAAAAAATTTATTATAATATAACACAAGTAAGTCACACAAATAAAAAGTGTCATACTAAATATATAATATATATATATTTATAAAATGTATTTAAATTATCATTATATATTTTGATATGACACTTGTTACTTGTTAGTTGTGCGACTTACGTGTGTCATATTATAATAATATTTTTAACCTATAACATATAACTACATTAAGCATAATTATATTAATTGGAAAATAATTTAATTGTTTAATTAGATTTAATAAATAATTTTTTTATTATTATTATTATAAACATAAATATAATTTATTTATTTTATATATACAAAATGGATGTCAAATCGAAGTTCATCAAAAGACAATTAATTTAATATATTATACATGTAAAACCAATAACAAATACAAAAGTTATTGACTTTTAAAACACATTTACAATTCAATTGTTATGATATTAAATAATATTAAAATACACTTAATACATCTAAAATGATCATAAATAAATCAACATATTTATGTTAATCCGGACCTAATTATTTTGAGATTCAATTAAATTAAAATCTATCCAAGCCAAACAATGAAGCATGAAATTTTGACATCTAGGATCACGAAGCATGCGAGCCTGCTACTTAGGCTCAGCACATTCGAGAATTATATATATGGAGGATTCTGAGATAGTTCTATATTTTCTAAAGTTGATTTCAAATAAAACGTTTAATATGGTGAAGTATTGATAATTGATGGATTTTCTTTAAGCACATCAGGATTTAAATATTACTAGATAATCATTCGAAAAACATTTAAAAATAGATAGAAATTTTCAGAGCTCCAAATCAAATCGAATCGAACTGAGCCGTACCAAAAGATATAAATATCTGAAGCGAAACAAAACATTTTTTTGGCAACGGTTTCAAAATTGAATTTTAATTATCCCCGTATTCCAGTACAATTGCAAAAAGAGCTTAATATCGGAACAATACTAACTCATGCTCACGACGAATTTATCGGCTGCCACTCGTGGAAAAGGAGGATATTCAGACATTAAGATTAAAAGAGAAATGTTACGGTCCTATTACGGAACCTTTCTGTCGGGATTTGTAACCGTTAGATCATCATGTAATCGTCGGGATAGTTGATTTAACGGTTACAAACCTCGACAGAATGATTCGGGACCATAGTATCTTCCAAATTAAAATCGTGTTAGTGGGTAACTATGGGAGTTCACACAATAAACATGGCGGTCCATCCGTCGTAGTAGCATTCACAGCCACCCAAATCCCACTAATATATATACTACAGTGACTCTCTATTTCTCATTTTAACATTTTTTTTCCCCATAAAAAAAAATTACAACAAAATTATAAAGAATAAAAAGCAAAAGAGAAAATAAAAAAGGGGTCAGAAAGGAAGAAAGTGAAAAGAAGAAAAAAATCATCTTCCTTTTTGGCTCTTAATTACAGCCTGTCCCCCAACTGTATAATTGATTATTATTATTATTGTTATATCAATTTAATATATTCATATATTCATTTCTCTCACTCATCATTTTCAATATTAAATTCCCTTTTTTGGCTCTTTCCTTTCTTATTTTTCCTCAATTTCTGTGATCCTTCCTTCCCCACAATCATTATTCCCTCTATTAATACATATCGCCCTTTTTCCACCATTTTCAATCAGAAATTTAAAGAAGAAAAAAAAAAAGAGATAAAAATCGCCGTCGTTTATTAGCGAACGATTTTTCAGAAATTTATTTAGGAGATTTGAAAGGCAGATCGAAGGTGCGATCATGGCGGAGGATCACGGATTTCAGCCACAGGAGGGCCACCGCCTGTGCGTCAACAACTGCGGCTTTTTCGGCAGCCCCGCCACGCAGAATATGTGCTCCAAGTGCTACCGGGACCTCCACCCTGCCGATCCGCAGGTCTTCTCGAAGCCGGCCGCCGCCGCCGCGGCGGCGGCGGCGGCGGAGGTGGCTGCGCCGTCATCGGCAGAGGAGCCGATCTCGGCTGAGATATCGTCGACGGAGAAGGAGGTGGCGGCGCCGCGGGGGACGGGGAGATGCTCGGCGTGCAGGAGGAGGGTCGGGCTGACCGGGTTCGGGTGCCGGTGCGGGGCGACGTTCTGCGGGGTCCACCGGTACCCGGAGAAGCACGGGTGCAGCTTCGATTTCAAGGCGGCGGGGAGAGAGGCGATCGCGAGGGCGAATCCGGTGATCAAGGCGGACAAGCTGGAGAGGATATGAAGGCCGTCCGGTGCGGTGGTTGTTGGTTTTGTTGCGATGGGCTTTTTGTGGGCGCGTGCGCGTGATCCTGCGGTGGCCGTTCCGTTTGGGAACGTGTGAATTTGATTGTGTATAATTAATTTTTACGTTTTGTTTTTCAATTGTTTCGCTTAATTAGTTTTATAATTTTCTCGATTATCTTTTTTTTTTTTAAAAAAAATATTATCGCTATAAAATGGTGTTATTCGACGCATATATTAGCTGGCAAAAAAAGAAAAAAAAAAGAAACAGTAGGGTACTGTTTTAAATTTCGCATAATTTCAATGGATTTTGTAGTTTCGCTTAATCCCTACATTTGATCTGACATTTAGTTGACTAGTTAAAGCTTTCTTTGTGTGATCACTTGAAATAATCATATATTGAATACAAATCATTTAGTAGTAATATTTTTTGCTCGGATTATATCATTAAAAACATTATTATAAAATTAAAAAATGCCACTTAAGATTAGATTTGTACAATAAAAGTTTATTATTCTCATAAATGAGACCGTGGGTTTGTTCAATAATCCCGAGTTTCGATTCTTGATCAAACTAGGGCTCCGTAAGAAATCTTGAGTTTCGATTCTTAATCAAACTAGGACTCCGTAAGAAACGAGAGGAAAACGAATGCGGTCCCACGCAGATGAAGCGCATGGATATTTTAGACGAAGCCCAAGTGAGATTACATTCTAAAATAATTGGTGGAAGAAGAATTTAGTCCACTAGACTTATAAATTAAGCTTATTTTTTCTATATAGATGTGAGACGACTCAAGTAAATATTATAATAAAGGTAATGGAGATTTTAGGATTCAACCAAATACATCAAACAATAAGATAGTTCTAATAAAGTTAGCAACAGTCTCAATCCAACTAGCAAAAACAAGGTTGTTAAATTTCGAGGATATTGAATATAAAACCATTTTTCATTTCATTTGATCATTTCTTGGAATAATATTTTCTAATTGAACTATGATGTATCACAAGATTTTTTTTTTTTTTTTTTTTTTTTTTTTTTTTTTTTTTTTTTTTTTTTTTTTTTTTTTTTTTTTTAAGCAAAATGTATTACTTTAGTTTTAATGTTTCCACCTCAATTTTATCAATATAATTATAAATAATTCCAATCCTTATCGTTTATATTTTTTAAATAAGATTCACAATTCATAAACTCACTTATTTTTGTTATTTATCACTTGTAATTTTTTACTTTATTATATTTATCTTAAATCTATTTCATGATTATTTTTATTTTTATTCTCATTCATAAGCATAGTTTTTTAATTCTCTCATTTCACAATTTAAATAATTTATATGCAGTGCCTAAGTTTTTTAGTTGTAAGGTGGTTGCTTAAGAGAAAACTAAAAGAGCAACATTTGTATTATGATCAAGAACAATCAGCTGTATTCACCCTCACCAACCCCACCAGCCACCACCCACCTCTGCCAATATTCCGTGCTACGTGGTGGTAACTGAATGGTTCAAAAGTGATTATTGAGTTTATGCTCCTTTGGATGTGGCCAAATGCGGACCAGTTCACGACCCGGCCCGGAAAGCTGGGCCCAAAATCGGCTCGGCTTCATCTATTAAATCGGCCCTAAATCATCGGGTCATCGACCCGTGGATTTTTGCCCGGCTTCGGGCCGGTTATGGAGGTTCTTTTTT